GGCGGATCTTCCTTCGTTTGATTCCGATTTTGTCCCCACTGCCGCAAGCCTTCTCGGGTGTATGTGCAAATTTATTTTGCCCTGAGAAGGAACAGCGCTTTACCAGTTAAAATACAGCGGGGGCATATGTGCATCCCCCCCCCCCACCTCCCGCCCCCAACTGTGGGTACGTAGATTTTTGAGACTCTGATCCTGCATTTTTTCGAGCCGTCCCCCTTCCATTTCTGACCCTTTACGACCAAAGAGTGCACAGGCCTTTCCTATACAGCAAGTTGCCTGGAAAACGTAATTTAAACTTTCCCTTTTGCACGTTAGCTCTCGTGCAGATGTCCTTTTCCCAAAAGGGTTTCGGAGAGTTAGTTAAAATAGTTGGGGAGTGCCGTGATATAAATAGCGGAGGGGCGAGAGATTTAGGTAAAAGCTTGTGGCAAAAAAGATGTAGAGGGAAAACCAGTTTAGAAATACATCTGGCAGGAACGGGACTGGAGGGAGAGGTAATGTGGTTATTGCTCTGAGCATTTTTTGTGCATTTTAAGGTTTCTTCATATCTTTCTTCATCTACTAGAGCCGCTTCTAGGTTTCGATTCAGTTTTTTTTCCTCCAGAGATCCAGGACGTCTTCACCATTTTCTCCTCAGTAGTTGGAAGTGAGATAGAAACATTCCGAGCCTACACCGATTTTCCATCCATGCTTCAATATTTAGAGAGATCATTAAACCTTTAAAAAAGTTGGGCCGACTTTCGGCTTGCCGTAGGCAAGCTGCTCTTTGGCCTTGGTGAATAATGAAATGAGATTAAAATTGTTTTGCACAAGATGATGACAAATTGGCAGAATGGATCTTGGCCGGGTCTTTTGGATTCGGAGAGGGGTAAGGTGAAGGGAGGCAGAGCAAGCTTCCTTTGACAATCTCCCGAGCAGCATTCTTTTTGGTTTCTTTTCCTTTCGGTCTGGAGCCAGTGATTTGCTGGTAATGAATGCAAAGAAATGGGTGTTGTGTGTGTTGTGTGCGCGCTCTGGTGATAGGGTCATATGAGTCATTACTCCTCACCGAGGCGGTAATGTTCCCGAAGTTTTCTCTTCGTTCTATGTTTCATGGTAGTTTAACCTTATTAACTCTTTTGCAAGCTTCTCGTGCGGTTAAAAGAAATCTCTTAACTTTTGGTATTTATTTTCTGGTAGGTCTTGCTGGAATGTAAGGCTTTTGCTGTGTTTTGAGGGAAGATGGAAGGGAAGTTTTGAACAGATGTACAATGATAACCACAGAACATATGCCTTTAAATAGTTCACACCTAGAATCCTTTTCTCTTTTTAATGCCGTGCCAGCTATTGGGGACGAACCTTTTTCCGAATTGGTGCTCCCCGGGGGTAGTTTTGTATGTGGGCAGTGCTGGGCTGTTCGTGTCATGCCAGCCATGGATTACCTCCCTGTGTTTACGAGAGTAAACATGAGCAGAACTCGGTTTTAATTGGTATGTTTTCTTTTTCCAGGAGCTGGAGGAGGGAATGATATTCAGTGGTGTTTTTCTCAGGTGAAAGGAGCCGTAGATGATGATGTAGCAGAAGGTAAGAAAGCGTTTAATCCTGCAAAATGGGGATGTGGAATCTTGTCAAAATCTTGATCACTGAGGGATTTCCTTGAAGCCAAGTCTTTATTAGTTCAAGCAGATTTGGTGTTTATTGTCCAAGAAGTGGGAAAACAGTTTTAAAAGTGACCTTTCTGTAATATGGGCTTCAATCTCTTTTGTATTTGTGCCTTGTTGTATTATTTTTACCCTGGATTTAAATGAAAGGAGCAGTAGATGATCTGAATAAAATAATCACAAGAAAGCTCTGAAGCCCATATGATAAAGGTCTCCTTGTCATATAAATCCCACATACAGATAAACAGGGATGCATTTTCATGTGGGTACATTGTTTTGAAACAATTATGTTGAAATAAGTGCCATCAACACTTAGCTCCGCATCCTTGACGTCATCTTTTATTTTTATGGGAAGATTTTAAGCTTTTTTTTTTTTTTTTTTTGCCTACTTAGGGAGTGTGGTGTTGATGTCATTTTCTGTGAAGAAGTGCTGTCTCAAATCATTCATTTTGTTGTTGTTCAGGGATTAATTTAGGTGAAAAAGAAAGTAACAATGTTGTGAATATATAACTTGTCTTTTGGGGAGCTTGTCATATTCTTGTGCAGTGAGAAAGAAACTATGTTGGATCAGTTGAAGTGCTCAAGTCTGATTTTGCCCCCAAATTGGTTTATTGGCGTATTTCAAAAGTTCATCTAAAGTTTTGAAACTTCAAGGTTTTGCATTCATTTGAGATGTTCTTAGGCGGTGGAGGCTTTATTTCCCACAAAGTAGTTAGTTGCATTATTTCATTGCTCAGAAATACTAAAGCTTGAATTTTCATAGTATTCTGTGTCTTGAATTACGGTAGAAATTTTTCCAAACAAAACTCAGATTAAAACATGCACTTCTGATTTTTAAAGATGTCTAGTGAAAATATATAAATCTTCTTTCTTTAGATTGTATGTCCTCGTATTAAGATCTTATTTCTGACCTGCTGTGTAGAGTACTGTTTGTTTTGAGGATTTTTTCCAGTGGTGGTAGGGTGATGGCTGTGTGTTGAGCCAGACGAATGCTTTTATTTGCTTGTGTCAATGTCATTGTTAGTGAAATGTCTGATCAGAGTGGTGACTGCTCCGAGAAGCCAGCCGGCATAGTTAGACTTATCATATTTTACAGAGCGCACTCACATTCTTTTTCTGTTGGATCCTTATCTGTTTTCAGATGAGAAACCAGAAACTTACAGAAGAGACGCTCTGATGGTCAGTCAGGATTTTCTGGTGAAGTCCATGGTGTTTGCTTTGTTTAGAGAAATAAATCCTAACTTCAAGGGAGGAGTCGTGCATCACTCATGTCGTAACTCCATTACCTGTTGAATAGTCGACACTTCAATATGGGATCGTTAGTTCTGTGCTGTTGTGTAATACTCACCGAGTTATGAAAGTGCTGTATGCTTGGAAAACATTCCTTGGTTGAATTCCATTTATTCTCTTTATCAAACGTCTCCTAAATGCTGAGCGCTGAGGGTACTTGTGTCTGGAACATAAACCCTGCCCATGAGGAGCTCTGCTTGCTAAACTTTAGGCAGAAAGACCACATGGCTTTTATTTAGTCAGAAGACGTTGTTTCAAACTGAGCATCACTTACCTAACTCAAACAAATGATAACTTGTAGTATATACAGTAAGACCTCACTTATTATCATCAGTAGGTTCTTGAGAACTGTGACTTTATGTCCTTTTGTTCCACATCTATTGGGAGTTGATGTAGGTTTTGTTACATGTTGTTTTGCTTAAAATCGCAGTTTCCAAGAACCTACTGACAACATTAAATCAAGGTTAACTGTATATAATGGATCAGTTATAGTTCTCTTCTGCTAATAGCTGCATTTTGCTACCTATTCATTAAATTTTCTTTTGAAGTTGTTAAATATTATTTTAACATGTACGTTCCTAGCATTCTAAAATGTTAATGTATATTTTAGTAAAAACATGACTTTTTTAGAACTATGTCTTTACAAATGTATTAAGTATAAAAAGCATCCAGTTTCAAAATACATAGCTTTAATTTGAGTGTTTTTGTGCACTGTAGTTTGTATGTCATAGTCTTTATAGAATACTGTTTATATTATCAAGAAAAGCTTTGTTTTTCTGAAGTAGAGTAAGATTATTAACACATTTTTCTCCCTAGGTTTAATCTCCAAACAAGTTACATCTAGCTCATCCTTTAGTTTAGCTCTCCTGTTGTCTGCTAATGATACATCTTGGTTTCTTTTCCAACAAAGGCTCCAAATTGTCTCTCCCATCTGTGTGCAGTCAGCTGCCAGGGCATACCATTTTTACTCCTGTAATGCCTTAATCTTCTTTCCATACCCTCTTTCACCTTTGTTCAGGTTTGCACTGTCTTTCATCTGGACTTGAGTAACTGCTTAAATTATTTCCTGCTTTTTCATCTTATGTTTTGCTTCTAAGTTAAGCTTAAATGCAGTCCCAGTTTTGCCGTTTTTCTCAAAAATCTTCCCCAGATCACTCTATCCGCTGGAATAGGAATTAAATTCAGACATTTCAGTCTATAAGATCGACCTTTGTTCAGTATGGCCTCTACTTAGCACTAAGTTTGTTTGTTCCTGTGGCCAGTGATCCAGCTAAATGGATACTGCTCTTTAAACAAGTTCTGTACTCTTACTTATGGGTCTCTGTTTTTGCTGTTGTCACCTTGCAGTGCCCGTCAGTTCTCTTACCAGGCTCCTGCTTATCCTTAAGTCATGCCTTTAACCCTTTGACTTGCTTGCCTCTTTTGGAAAATATTTATTTATTTGTTTGTTTGTTTGTTTGATTTTATTTTTTTTGAGTTGGAGTCTCACTCGGTTGCCCAGACTGGAGTGCAGTGGCCGCTCCCGGCCACCGCAGCCTCGCCTGCTGGGCTCCAGCGATCCTTCCGCCTCAGCCTTCCGAGTAGCTGGAATTACAGGCGTGCACTACCGTGCCCGGCTGATTTTTTGATTTATTGTAGAGATGAGGTCTCGCTGCCCAGGCGGGTCACGAACCCGCGGGCTCGGGCAGTCCACTCACCTCAGCCTCCAAAGGCGTGGGATTACAGGCTGAGCCACCGAGCCCGGCTGAAAATATTTATTTTTAAAGTCTTTCTTTACAGCACTTTGTTACATAGGTATCCTACTTAGTGCCCCAGGCCTCTACTGTTTTGTGGGCTTAGTGCAGGACATGCTTTATAAATTGCCAGTGCCTGGCACACAGTAGGCATTGAATATTTGTCGAATAAAGTAATACAAATGTTACTGTTCTTGTTAAATTTTGAAGGGGAGAGAACTGGTGAAAGGGAGTGATTGAGATGTACTTCTGGCAATCAGATTTATTTACTTGGCAGGATTTATTACTGGGTTGACGCTGTATGAAACAAGGAAGTCAGGTGGTGTTGGGTTTTTATTCTAGCTCCTACACATATGAAGCTGGCAAAACTAGACAGAAAGCTATGAAGTAAAGCAAAAAAGTACTATAAAAGTCAGTGTAGCTGTTACCTGTGAGCAGGAGGACTTTGGATTGGAGAGGGCTGGGGAGGCCTTTAGGGGCTGTCTTGACCTCCATGTTTTGTAATGACTGATTAACCTGTACATTTTTGCTTGATTTTCTTCTTCTGTTAAATATCACAGTAAAAGGGTCTTTTGGTTTTGTTCTTAAAGAAATGCTAATACTGTACTAAAGAGTTTAGAATGAAAAATAGCAGTCTCAGAGCTCACCTGCTCCCTTGTCCCTAGACCGTCTCTTAAGAGCAACTGTTCAACTCTTCAGCTGGATTCCTTGGTGCTTAACCATGTTTTGGGGGAATAAAATGATATTTCTATATATCTTGTCGATGTAGACTTTCCACTTGACTTCCTTCTCTAGCAGATGAAGACTGAGTGGTTTCACATGATCACCCCCATTTCCCTCCCATCATGCCCTGATGTTGCATCACACACTATGGTTAAATGAGAAGTCAGTGCTTACATTATTATGACCGTGCAGGTGTTCACTACTGAACCAGTAGTACTCTGTGATACTCGCTTCATTTTTCCTCAAGGTAATACAATAATGGCCTGTTGGCTAATTCGCCTACATTGTGCATTTTAAAAAATTCATTCTGGGACGTTCCAGAAAGTATGTGGAGTCGAGTAGTGAGCTCCTGTTGCCCAGACCATCAGTGGCCGTGCTGCCTTCGTTGCACTAACGTCACAGGCCCTTTCCTTTTCCATCCCTTTGTTATTCAGTAATAGAAATATTATTGTTTTTAAAATCCGAGTTCAAGAAAATAGAAAGCCAAGTTCATTTTAGAGTGAAGTAGTAAGGAATTTTTTTCAATGATTTTTTGCGGTACCAGTTCTGATAATCTGTTAGTTTGTTTAAATTTTACTTGTGGGAATTAGTTATTCAGAATGCAAATACATGTGTATAATCTGAACTGTCTAATATTTAGTCAAAGTATGGAACAACTATTAATCATTTAAGATGGTTATTTTAATTATTTTAATGTACATTTTTATTATTTAACAATTTAACATTAACCATTTTATATTAAATAATTAAGTTTTATTAATTTAATGTATGTAATTTTTCTCATCCCCATATTTGACACTTAAACTTTCATAGAGAATTATTTTAGGATGTGATTTTATTATGTGAAACCTGATTTTATAGAATTTGGATCCAAATGCATTGTGTATTTTCAGTTGTGCTTCCTGCTTATTTTTCGTTTATTTTTATTTATTTTTTTTTTTGAGTTGGAGTCTCACTCTGTCGCCCAGACTGGAGTGCAGTGGCCGCTCCCGGCTCCTGCAGCCTCGACCTGCTGGGCTCCGGAGATCCTTCCGCCTCAGCCTTCCGAGGAGCTGGAACTACAGGCGCGCGCTACCACGCCCAGCTAATTTTTGATTTATTGTAGAGATGAGGTCTCGCCAACTTGCTCAGGTGGATCTCGAACCCGTGGGCTCAGGCAATCCACTCACCTCAGCCT